AACAGTTATCTTTGTGAGGTTTTATTTCCCTATCCCTGACAACATGTTTTAAGGTTTAATAGCTCTGCTTAAGTGTTTTTGATTAATTTGGTAAACAAATTTAGGTGACCTCTTCTGAGGAATATATCTTGAAATTACGACCATACTCAGAAAGCATTATCTAATCCATACAGTTGAAAAGTTAAATACTTGTTGAAATACAAAGGTAAGGGAAGAATAAGTTGTGTTGTCATCATATTCTTGACAAAGTGAATGAATTAAATAGTTCTGTGATGATGGTTCAAACTTTCCAAAAGGAAAGCATAAAGAGTATGTGGAATTTAAATAAAAATGATTACCATGTTATATATGATAATCCACACTATACCATTAAAAACTGCTTTTAAATGAATTTACTGATAAAAATTTCTTTTTCTACACACTATTTATTGTATATTTTTCAAAAGAAATTTTTTTTCTAGACTACATAACTCTCTCTGCTTTATGCTTCTAATTAAGATACATGCTGTTGTTTAGAGCTCTGCGGTGTGAAATTAGACCAGGGGTTTTCTAATATCCATAAAATAAATTAAAAAATGTTCCTCCTCTGAAAGACAGATAATTCAGTCACAGAGAGCTTATTTCTATGTTTCTTTGTTTTCTTTCTTCTTCTTTTTTTTTTTAGCTGCTTGGTAAGCCAATTTTCTACTTAGAATCTACTGTTAAAACTCTCATTTGGTTCAGTATGTGGGCTTTATCCTTTCCATGGTCTGTTATGCAAAAAGGATGGCTTTAAATTCTTTTTTTAAGTTTGCTGTAAAGCAGTGTTTCTCAATGTGGATGCACATGAGAATCACCTAGGGAACCTGTTAAAGAATACTGGTGCTTCCTCTCCCTCCGGATATTCTGATATAACTGGTCTGGGTGGGCCCCTTTGTAAAAGCTCTGCAGGTGATTGTAATGTGTTGCCAAGGCTAGAAACCACTACTCTAGGATCTTGTCACTTTCCAACTAAAAGCTTATTATATTTTCTGATTGAACTTGGATGGGAAATGCTTTTTAAAAATTCTATAGTTTTAACAGATGCAAAGATTAAATTTCTTCTCTACGAGGTTGCTACTCTTTTAGTTTGAATTTTAGAGTTTAAGAGCAGATTGTATCTTTTATTCTGATGATTAGCTCAAGAAGTCTACTGGTGGCCAGTGAAAAAAATTTAAAGACATATGCCTGAAAATTACTTTTATAGACTAGTGGCTTTCGTTCATGATATTCTAAAAAATGTGCTACAATTAATTCATAGTTAAAAATTATGTCTTCACATGTGAAAAAAAGAAACAATTATTTCCCTAGAGATTTCTTCCACAGACGTTCACCTTTTGCATATAGAAGTTCACATGAGGTTCTGCAAAAGTAATCTACACAAATTCTTCCAACAGTTTAACTTTGATAGAATGACTGAAAGGGCCAAATCCAAGAAAAACCTACTCTTGCTAAAAAAAGGAATTTTTGTACCTTAATATAGTAGGATTGAAAAGGGGGGCATTAACTATGCAATCAGTGGTGAATAACTAAAAATCATGTGCAAGTATCATATACAACTTTATGAAAATCTATTCAAAAACACTTACATAAAATGGATAATTTTCCAGAAATACAAATTTAGGAAAATGACTTCAAAAGTCCTGAAAAAAAAAAGCAGCTCTTAAAACTGGAATCTGTTATTTAAAAAATCTACCTTCCTTTAAGACACCACACCCAAGCAGTTTTATAGGTGAGTTTCACCAAACGCTCAAATATCAGTTAATTCCTTTTGGTACTGTTTCAAAGAGGAGAAAAAGAAAAAGCTAGCCAAATCACTCCAGAGAGCTAGTACAACCTTTATATGGAACTTAGAAAGGATAGTAAAAGCAAGTAAAACTGTTTGCCAATCTCATATTTGAGCAAACTGTAAAGCCTCTTTAGTGTTTCCTCCTGACTATCTCCCTAAGTAGAATCAATCATTCCCCACTGGCTCCTACTATAGCTTATACATACTCTATCCACAGCATCATTTAACGCTTTAGTGCACTTACTTCATATTTGTCTCTCATTGGTTGGACACTAGGATCCCTGCAGGCAGGGTTATTTTTGTATTCAGATCCCTTGGAATGAAATACAGTGTTTACTCCATGGTCATGCTCAATAGTTGTTGAATGATGTGGAAACCGAAGGAAGGGCCTTTCAGGTAGAAATACCAGTAATGTGTACAGGCAGGTCATGGAAAATAAGAGGCAATGAGTAAACCACTTGGCTAGAACATAGGTTTGTATAAGGAAATAACACTGGAAAGATAGGTCAGGGCCAGTCAGGGTGGTCTTTCAGTGCTGAAGCTAAGTTTAGTTTCGTATCTACTAAAGGCATTTGAGCAAGCAATGGCTCAATCAGATCTGTGGCTTCAGAATCCAGGTGAGCACTTTTTAGAGCTGTCACAGACCTGGAGGTGACCTATCTGGTGGAAATCCATCATTTTAAAAATAGAAAACTAAAGTCAGAGAGAATAGGTGATCTACCCAAGGGCAAACACAAAATTAGCTAAGAGCAGGCAGAAGCTTAGAGGGAGTAAACTTGACTAAGGTTACACAGTTAGCATGTATATGGTCCAACCAACAGTTAAACTAGGTTTTTTCCAACTCCAAAGTCCATGATCTAGATGACACCAGGTGATAAGGTATGTAGACCATATGTATACCCTTTAGAACACTCCCAATTTCATGTAATACACTCATTTCAAATACAGGTAATTCATGTAGAGTATAACTAAATTTTTTTTACCTTTATTATAAGGCAGAACATTTAATAGAATTCTAATTAGCTTCATTACAATCATTTTGATGATGTCTTTTACTCAATTAGCTTCTGAACCCAAGATCAATAAAGCAGTAGGCATGAAAAGCAAGTGACTAGGAACAAAGCACTTCCTTAGTCTCACAAATCCACACCTAAAGCATTACAAGTGGTTTTAGTCACTGTAACAAAATTGGAAAAGTTCTAGAAAAAGGTTAATTAATTAATTAAAAATGACTCTGCAGGGGCGCCTGGGTGGCTCAGTTGGTTAAGCGACTGCCTTCGGCTCAGGTCATGATCCTGGAGTCCCGGGATCGAGTCCCGCATCGGGCTCCCTGCTCGGCAGGGAGTCTGCTTCTCCCTCTGACCCTTCTCCCTCTCATGCTCTCTGTCTCTCATTCTCTCTCTCTCAAATAAATAAATAAAATCTTTAAAAAAAAAAATTAAAAAAAAAATGACTCTGCAGTCTTAAAAGACAGCCTGAAAGTTTATAACACCAGAAGAGACAGGTAGAGATAGAAAAAAACTTGGACTTGTTCATTATATCTCAGAATTAAAGCCTAATAGATAATAGATTTAGAGAAAATATAGAAACATACCACAGTTTTCCTTGCCTTACAATGGAGTCAAGTCCCAGTAAACCCATCATAAGTTGAAAATATCCTAAGTTGAAAATGCATTTAATACACCTAACCTACCAGACATCACAGCTTAGCCCAGCCACGCTTAAACATGCTCAGAAATTTAAATTAGCCTATACAATTGGGCAAAATCATCTAACACAAAGCCTATTTTATAATAAAGTGTTGAATATCTCATGTAATTTATTGAATACTGTACTGAAAGCAAAAAAACCAGAATGGTTGTATAGGTACAGAATGGCTGTAAGGGCAACAGTTGTTTATCCTCATGATTGCATGGCTGACTGGAAGCTGTGGCTGACTGCCACTGCCCAGCATCATGGGAGAGTAGACACATCACTAGACTGGGAAAAGATCAAAATTCAAAATTCAAACTACGGCTTCTACTGAACATGTATTGCTTTCGTACCATGGCAAAGTCGGAAATACTAAGTCAAACTATCTCTAAGTTGGGACTGTCTATATTTTACTCAGGCAAAAACTTAAAAAAGAAACAGGAAAGGTTGCTTTTGTTTTAAATTATAAAAAAGAAAACCAATTCCATACTCAAAGTACTGGTACAAGCTGGAATTACCCACAGGTTCACAATAATGAATGATGATGGAAGCACTGTCAGGAATAGATAGGATGAAATACTGCCCCCCCCGCCCCCCTCCCCCTCCCCCCCACTCCTAGATTAACCGTTTTGGTGCTCCCATCCAAGGCAGGACACTAGACTGAGAAGGCCACTGCTCTACAGCCCTCCTTATAAATTCTTGCCTCAGCCATGGTTTGGTACCACAGAGCCTTCCACAAAATAAGCATTCATCTAATGTTTACTGATTCAATGACTGAAGTATAAAGAAGGTGACAGATAACATAGCTTTGGCAGGTATGAAATTATGGGCAAACAGTAATGACAGCACTAAAGATGGTAATAACAAGAATCACAACAGTGATCTGTGTTTGTTTTTTTTTTTTAAAGATTTTATTCACTTATTTGACAGAGAGAGACACAGCGAGAGAGGGAACACAAGCAGGGGGAGTGGGAAAGGGAGAAGCAGGCTTCCCACGGAGCAGGGAGCCCGATGCGGCAGGGCTCGATTCCAGGACCCTGGGATCATGACCTGAGCCGAAGGCAGACACTTAACGACTGAGCCACCCAGGCACCCCCAGTGATCTGTGTTTGAGAGTTTACTATATGTAGGTATTGCTCTAAATGCATGTATTAACTTATTTATCTTCGTCAACTCTATTTTTCAAATAATGAAACCACAGTGCAGAGCTTAATAACGTGCTCAAGAACAGAGAGCTACGTAGTGGCAGAGCTTGGATTTGAACCCAGAAGCCTGTGTTCTTAATCACTGTGAGATTCAGGCCAGCCCTGGAATTGTCTGTTTACCCTATAGATATGATACTCCTAAGGATCCCACTTTTACATGTAATTTCCTCTTTTGAGAATTTAGGAAAATAAATTATATGTTTAAAAAAGTATTCATCTTTATTTCAGAACAGAAAAACTAAGAGTCTTATTTTATTTGCTCTTCAACAAAATGTATATATTTACTTTAAAATTACCTCCAGTCTTCCTTGAGCATAACCTAGGAGCAGCAGATTGGCTCTGTCCTTCTCAGGAGAAATGGGGGCCCAAGGCCAAGCATCATCACTGACCAGTGGCCACCAGCAAGCAACTATATCCTGAACACAATTGATAGCTAGACGACGCTCTGTTGTCCTGTTTACTGGGCCAGGTATCTCGTAATAGGAAATCTAATGATTAAGAGAAAAAAGCATATGAGAATCATTTTTTAATGCAAAATCCTCCCAGTATTACAAAAATTAAAGCATCTGTAAATGTAGATAAATGCAAGTAAATATGCATGTTAAACATGTGCTTAAGGAGGTGTCAGAATTTACCAAATTCTTTTGACACATATATAAAAAAGACATATGTTCAAAATTCTCCCCATTTTTAGCAGAGGAAAGGAAAAGGAGAAATGTGAGTTAGGGAGGAATTGGCTGTAGCAATCCCAATCAATACCAAAATGTACAGTCATGGCTGCCTGACAGCTTCGACCTACACACAGGATTTAAGACCAGCTATATTAAATGACAAGTTCAGTACTGCTGACCAAGAGTATCTGACTACTGTTTAAGACATAACACGTTAACAATGACTGACAACAATAAAAGGAAAAACAACTTGAGGCAAATATCACTTTAAAGAATATATGAGACATATATTCTGCATAAAGGGATAAGCCACAGCATCATGCGTAAAAGTTTATGCAGCTTCTGAGAATTATGCTTCTCTTTCTTAGGAAGGATTTGTAGAATTTATTATTCAAACTATGTTATTTTGGAACATGGTTATTTGAAAACATAAGCACAGCACCATCTGGGTGACACATGCCAAGGAAATATAGATTGCACCGTATTTCTGCTTAAGGAATTAATGGAAGGTTGATAGCTTGGAAGAAAAAAAAAACTATCTTGCCATTGCTGGTCAGCAATAATCGAACCACTTTCTGGGGATTAAGCGCATGGCTAAGCCTACTGGACCAGACACTAGCAAAGGGCAGGGGGTCTTCTTATCAGAGAAATGCTTCTGGAGCCAGTCTCACTACATGACAGATTGCTTTCATATTCCTGTCTGCAAGGCAACAAAGGATGGCAGTAATGCGATAATGCCAGAGTGCAATGGGTGTTAAGAACCCGTTGCATTTATGTATTGTATTTAGTAAATAATCAGGCTCATCCAAATTGTGATCTCACCACTCAACCAAGGCCATTAAAATCAAGGTTAATGCTTTAATAATCCTCTGCTATTTTTTTTAATATGGTCAAAAGGAACCCTTTTCTATTTGTATGGCCATAATATTATTGACCTCTTCATCCTCTGAATGCACATCAAAAGGAACTGAAATCAAAGTAATTACCAGTGTTGTTCTCCTATGGTAAACATTTAACTCCTTACACTGTCCCTTTCCTGTTAAATAAATTGAATTGGATTTTTAAAATGTAGACTGGAAAATTTGTTCAAGGTCAAAAATTTGTTCAAGGAAAATTTGTTCAAGGTCAAAAATTTGTTCAGGATATTTCCCTGCAATTTTCTCTGCCAAAATTATTTCAATCTGAAAGAATTAAATTATGGTACAGCTGTAAAGAAAAGCAGAGTTATAAATACTTTACACTATTTCTTTGTTTTAAAATCCAAATGGGCAATGACAGACAACACAGATGTACTTTAGGCTTCGAAGTGCAAATTCTTATATTTATGCTCTCAATATCATTATTTTAACTACTTTTCTTCTTGAGATGAATACCATAATGGAATTGCTAAGTCCTCACAAATAAACATACATTATTTTGATGTCCTACTGCCATGTAAACATGTTACGAATTTCTAGATGAGAAAATAGTGTTAAGAGACTGACACTTTCAGTCCTCCTATGGTGCAAATCTGAAATTTCCTGTTTCCTGTGAGTTTTAACGGCATCAGTATTCTATCATGATGGTCAACAGGGCAAGTAAAATGAACAAGTTTCTTAAATTATCCTTCCTATAGACATATGGCCATTTTTACTAAGTATTAAATAACTGTATTTTAAATACTGGACCAGAAAATGAAGTCCATGGGCTTTTCCAAAGGGAAGCAGGTTACTTCTCCAATGTATAGAAATGATGTGGAGTACCCACATTATCCTCAATTCCAAAGGCAGAAAGAAGAAACAAATAAGCAATTCCCTTACTTAAAGTGTAAGAGTCCATATAGTAAGTCTATTTTTCACATCTTTTCAATAAGAAAAGATAACATCCTGACAGTTTCTCTCTGATCTCATTAATGGGTAGCTACTATCCTTCAGCTGAGAAGACTACTAAAATATCCATCATAGCTAAGACGGAGAAACTCGTCATACAAAATTTTATATTAGTAGCACTGAAAACATTTTAAATATATTGAGTTAATGCATATTGGAGCACTTCATTAATTTACGTTTTCTATATTGGTGCATTTTAAAGACCAGTATTTGTAAATAAGCAACATTTCAAATAAATCTACAGTTAGCCAATCTAGAAAATAACATCCCATTAAGGTGCTAATACCAGTTTTTTTACTAACCAAAATGTAATACATGAATACCACCGACTCCAATTAAAGAAAATCAGTATTATACAAAATATTACAGAAGCTCCACAAGGTTGGCAAAGAAAACCAAATTAGTTTATTACCACAATGAAAAACTCATTTAATATATTTTATCCCATGTCAAAAATCTTTTTTATTAGATGTTTCTACCAAATAAAATTAAATCCTCCCTATATCATCACCACCTCAATCACAATAAGAAATAATCCCAAAGGGCAAAAGGTTAGCTTAAATACTACTTTTTTAAAAACACACATAAAGGGGCGCCTGGGTGGCTCAGTTGTTAAGCGTCTGCCTTCGGCTCGGGTCGTGATCCCAGGGTCCTGGGATCGAGCCCCGCATCAGGCTCCCTGCTCGGTGGGAAGCCTGCTTCTCCCTCTCCCACTCCCCCTGCTTGTGATCCCTCTCTCGCTGTGTCTCTCTCTGACAAATACATAAAATTTTTGAAAAAAAAAAAAACACACACACATAAAGTTTCAAGCCACAAAGCTGACTTCTAAAAATCTTTGCCCGTATTACAGATAGATATTCTGGGTATGGCATAAGTGTGCATCTTTTTTAAGGAAGTTGTATATCAGCTCTGTTCCCAGTGAACAGTGAACTGTCTCAAATCCACGTCACAGAGGTTGGATCAATCTTGCAAACACAAGTCATTGCTGAAAAGAGGCCTTGAACTGAAACAGCCTGGAAAATGTATTAGATACTCATCCTAGCAGAGAGTATGCCTTCCAAGCAGTTAAAATGTAATGTGGCAAAACTTATATTAAACACATCATTTAAAAAAAAAATCCTGCCTTAACAGATGTAAAATCCCTGATACAAGGAAACAAATTACCTGGAGTTAGTGAAGGGAAAGATACTAACATATGAAGGAGATTTCATTTTGCATTTTTCTCCAGTTATAGTTGGGTGTACGTGTGTGTATGTGGGGGGTGAGGGGTCTTCCCACTCCTTGTTTATTACACTTTTCTATTAACCTTTGAAAGTGACTTCTTTCTTCTTTCTTTTCTTGTGAAATGGAAGCCAGAGCAGCTATCCTTGCCTAGAAAGATGATATGGGGTTTTAGGGAAAAATGAGAATGGTGTATATCCTGCCCTTAGCAAGAAAACCATTTTCAAATGTGTATCTTGTCTCTATTGTCTATCTTTGATTTCCATAAGTACTAAATAAATTGCTCCAAACATGCCATTATTAGACTCCCGTAATGAGAGTAAAAAAGAAAAGGTAGGATAGCCACTATTTTCAGTGAATCAACTTTAATCATATAATTAACTCTGGTTTGTCTGAAATCTAGAAATGCTCAAGAATGAGCATAATATCCATGTGATACTCTAGCATACCTTAATAATTAATAATACAACTCTATAAATTGAAATCTCTACCTTATAATCCAAGGCTGAGAGTTTTTCCAGTCTTTTGTTTGTATCAGGAGAACCCATCTTCTTGGTAAACTGAATAAAACATAGTTTGTTTTGTGTCAAAAATGATAAGATGATAAAGTTGTCTGTGAGAAGAGCTAAAAAACAAAAACAAAAAAGATTTGATAATATTATAAAATACTAAATTAGAATAAAATGATAATGAATTGAGAATTTTTTCACTAAAATATTACAAAAAGCTATTCTCAGAAGATAAATACCAGTTGAAATAACTAGTCTCCTAAATATCATTATTTTGCAAGAATATTAAAGAAATTATAAATAAACATAATCCTCAACCTAGTCATGCATGGATTTGATACTTTCCCTTTTTCCTAATACCATTTTACGATACACTGATGTTTGGGGACAACCACCAAATGAACCAAGGCTAGAAAAGCATAAAATAAAGACTATCTCATACCTGAATGTAAAGATGAAAACATTTACTTTTATTTGTACTTAGCCTTTAATCCTGTGTTTACATGATATAAACCATCTGAGAATAAATTGGTTTTTTAGGGGATACAGATCAGTGTTCTCCAGATTTATTTATTTATTTATTTGAGAGAGAGAGAGACAGAAAGTGAACGCGCGCATGCACAAGCGCACAAGTGCACAAGCAGGGGAAGGGGCAGAGGGAGGAGGAGAGGGAGAAGCAGACTCCCCACTGAGCAGGGAGCCCAACACGGGGCTCTGTCCTAGGAGCCTGAGATCATGACCTGAGCAGAAGTCAGACGCTTAAACTGACAAGCCACCCACCCAGGTGCCCCTGTACTTTTTTTTTTAAATTTTTCATCAATCAACCTTCTTTTTGAGGGTATACAAGCTTGCAAACACAAGTCATTGCTAAAAAGAGGCCTTGAACTGAAATGAAATAAAGCATATTATACTCAATATGCACATTACATTAATTAATATCTAACAATGAAGATGAGCAAAAATATTTCTACAGCCTTATTTCTAACGCACACAAGTAGGCAGACAATTAATATTCATGAGTTACATAAAGGGTTATTAATGTTATAAAATTATTGATAAAAACTTAGTATATATTAGGAATTTGAGAAATGTTTTATATTGTTCCTACCATAAAGAAATTATTGAATGTTTCATGTATTTTTCTTTACTTCCATACCCTGGCTGTGCAAGAAGCAACCAACAGTATATCTACACAATTACAGGAGAATCTGGAGAACTGCCAAGAAATCACATTGTTATCATGGTCTCATGAGAGTGTATTATTTTGGATATAAATAAAAGAAACAAGTAAAAAGATATCTCAGAGACAGGAATAGTGTTGGGAGTCTCCTTTTAATTCTTATACAGGAGCATCAACATGACAAAATCATCACAGCCACTATTTTATTTGCAGTGTCAACAAAGGGGTCAATTATTACACATATAAAAATGGAACTTCTTCCATAAGAAGCTTCCTTGACACCCTGTTCCTGTAAGGAAGAGGAAACGGCACACTTACAATCCTATCCCCAGCTTATTATTATCAAGAATGTTGCTAATTATAGCCATCCTGCAAAGTGCTTTTCTCTAAGATGATGAAATTGTGTCTAAGTTATTCAGAGGTAGCTAGTGATAGCACAAAGCAGAAGCAAGGTTTCTGTATTCTCACCTCTGTCCTTTCCACTAGATCACACTTTGTTTTGATTATTCAGTTAAGATACTGACAATTTGCAATCACTAATGATAATGCAACCTGTTTCTTAAACCTTTTTACCTTCAATAAAAGAACATAACCTTAAAACCTCAGGAGTCAGCACAGTGTAGCAGAGAGAAAATAGGCTCTGCAGCTAGAACCTGGGTTCCAATCTCAGTTTGTTTATTTTCAAGCTGTTCCTTAGTATCTCATTTATGGGCATGCTCCTTAGTGTCTTAACTTCAATTTCCTTATCTATAAAATGGAAATAACTATACCATATAAAGTTTTATTTTAATTGAATGAAATAAGTAGGTTGACACAGAATTATAGAGCCTTTTCGGACTCAATAAATGTCAGTATCCTACCTTTTCAATAATTGGCTTAAAATCTTTTTTTGTGTGCTTTTTTAAAAGATTTATTTATTTATTTGAGCAAGAAAGAGTGAGGGAGCAAGAGTGTGTGCACGTCCATGTGTGTGTGGGAGTGTGAAGGTGGGGGAGGGGCAAAAGGAGAGGAAGTGAGAAACCCAAGCCAACTCTGACTCCAAGATGAGCAATGAGCGTGAAGCCCAACTCCGGGTTCGACCCCAGGCTCAATCTCTGACCCTGAGATCACAACCTAAACCGAAACCAAGAGTTGGACACCCTACTGACTGTACCACCCAGGAGCCCCTTTATTATGTGCTTTGTAGCAATTATATACTGATTGAGGTATACTTAAAAGGATCCAGCTTTATCTAGTATATTTGGCATTGGTTTTTGATATTTAGAAATATTGCCCAAATTTTTTCAAAAGTTAGTATTCATAGATTTTGGTAACAAAGGATCTTCCTACTAGCCAAATCATAGATTTTTTTTTTTATTGGTGGATGTGTTAACACATTTGGGTTATCCAAAATTCATTTGAAAATGAAAAATATTTGAAATGTCAACAATAGAGGACAAATTTTGTAAGAACACACCAAAAAAAACACCTTCTTTTGAAAATACATTCACATTTTTTAAAGGAAAAAGTGAAAAATACGCAGAGTATGAGCCTAAGGCTTGACAAAATTTTTGTAGTAAATATTAGTCAAAACTTGTATTGGTCCCAGGGGTTGTAACTATGCTATTATAAGTGATTACTTTTGTTTGCAAGTCCCAGTGGTAATAATTAGTGTACCTGTTGACACAGTATTTCTCCTGCACCACTGTTAATGTAGGCACATGGGGGTAATTACCATCACTGATGGAGTCGGAGATGAGCTTCCCCACCAGGCTTCTGTCAATCACCACTTTTTCCAGCTGTGGCCCAGAGAGGCTTAGGGACACCAGCACACCTGAACCAAAGAGGAGCTAAAACCAGGTAAAGGGGTCAGGGGGAGAGATATACTGAGAATTAGAGTCTTTCAAAAATCTCTCTTTAAATGTATTTAAATTATAAAGATATTTACATGAGCATCTACACCATGAAATTATACAGGTTTTTCTTCATTGAAAACAATCACTGCCATTCTGAGTAAATAGATACAGGTGACTAAATGATGCACCACAATAAAGGCACTGATTAAAGCTATGCAGAAACTGAATTTAGACCATGTTTATTAGACGCCTAATCATCGAAACACTTAGAAAACACCAATGTAGAAATAACTGCTTTGTATTGATTTCAAAAATGTACTGTGTTCTATTAAAATATTTTGAAAGATTACTATTTCTATCAGAAATTAAAAGAAGATTTCTGAAGGTCTGAATAGTCGTTGCTATACATTAAATATACAAAAGATGCAACCATTACAATATAAACAAAACAATATAAAAAGTGAATGTTACAATTTATTCGGAATTTAAACCCCACTTCTACAAATAAAGATCTTGTCAGTTTAAAATATTAAATACATGTAAATCAAGGCAATTGAAGTAAAATGTTAAACTTTAATATTCAAAAATAAATAGTACATGTCACAAACAATTTCTCAAAAAGAGATAAACACAGTAAAGTACCGGGCTTTATCAATATCAGTGTTCACCCAACCACCAACAAAAGATGACTGGATATCACCATTATGATTTTATACTGCTCCTTTCCATTTGTGGCAGCATAATTCATTCATCTCCAACTGTTTAAAACTTCTGAAAGGACTATGCATATGCGTATGCTTGTTATCTATGAGATTATGAAATATCAACATTGGAAGAAATTGTTTCACCTTCAAGGCAACAGACTCAAAGCTGATGAATCATGGAAGAGCATATGGTTTAAGAAGAAAAAAACCAATTGTCAGTAAACTAATCATGAACATGCTAGCCAAACTCAAAGACAACTATGATTTTAAACAAAACAGGGGAATTCCCCACCTACCTAGGAGTCGTGTCCCAGCTAGAAAGGATGATTCTGTGTCAAGACATATTTAGACATGTGTGAAGGATGAGCAGCATGAGGGACCAGGCTAATATAAAGAAAGACTACTACTTCCCCACTGCCTAACAGATTCCAGGCACATGAATAGGAAAAGAAACTGAAGGGTCTCACATGACTTTAATAGACTGTCCATTTAATGTCAATGCCCCTATAAGGGGCAGAGGGCAGGGAAGAGGTTACCATCTTTATTCGTTTGAGAGACTAATAAGAGAAGAACATTTGTTCCAAGAATTTCAAAATATTCACAAACTAATCTCTACTGAATTATATCCAGCCCTGCAATACACCTTGATGGCAAACACTGATATTTCTCTTTGGGGAATTCCCCCATAACAACATAACACATGGTCTTTACTTCTAAGTTCTCCCTTTTCAGGCAGGCAATTTTAGGGTCATCTTTCATACCTAGTTCTCCCCTATGTCACAGCTTTTTTCTCCCTTCCCCATTTATTCAAAACATCTATAAAAGCTGTCCTTTTCAGGGCACCTGGGTGGCTCTAATGGTTAAGCGTCTGCCTTCGGCTCGGGTCGTGATCCCAGGGTCCTGGGATCGAGCCCCACATCGGGCTCCCTGCTCGGCGGGAAGCCTGCTTCTCCCTCTCCCTCTCCTCCTGCTTGTGTTCCCTCTTCTCACTGTGTATCTCTCTGTCAAATAAGTAAATAAAATCTTAAAAAAAAAAAAAAGCTGTCCTTTTCTATTTATTTTTATCCACTAAGACTTTACACCTATATTCCTGAGCATCTCTTTTCTTAGTTATCCACTGACTACTAGCTCTTTATGGATACTAGCTAGGCCACTTTTATCTTTGTATCTTCAATGCCTAAAATAATGCCAGGCACACAGTAGATGCTAACTAAATGTTTGAAGAAAAAAATCATAATTAACTCATTATAGGATTAGATTATTCATAGTTAGAAAGAAACTTAGTCTAATCTTCCACAATGACATGAAAGTTCCTTCTGCAGCACCCCTTCAAGCATCCTTCAAGCATTCAGCCCATGCTTGAATACCTCTAGTGATCAGGAGCTCATTACCTTACCACTGGACAGTTCTAATTGATTTAGAAATCATTTATTCATGTTTTTCATTCAACAAAAACTGAATGTTGATTATATGCCAAGCACTAAACTTAGTAGCTCAAAAGAGAATAAAATATAATCCTCAAAATAGTTGAAAGATAGGTTAATAGAGAGAGGGATACAAGCAAATAAGTGTAATAAAGTGCTATTACTGGTCCTATTATTGGAGTACATACTGGAGAGACTGGGAAGACTGAGTAGGAGATGGCAGTGCTTGAGCTTGAGGTAAAGGCTAATACTGCCTTCTAAGAACTTCTATAATAATCTAAATTTTTCTTCAATAGCACACTTTAAAATATTAAAAGAGGGTGCCTGGGTGGCTCAGTTGGTTAAGCGACTGCCTTCGGCTCAGGTCATGATCCTGGAGTCCCGGGATCGAGTCCCGCATCAGGCTCCCTGCTCAGCAAGGAGTCTGCTTCTCCCTCTGACCCTCCCCCCTCTCATGTGCTCTTTCTCTCTCTCATTCACTCTTTCAAATAAATAAATAAAATCTTAAAAATAAATAAACAAAATAAAATAAAATAAAATATTAAAAGATAGTAACATAGTGTTAAGCATGGACTCTGAATCAGCATGAAATCAGCATTGGCTCTACCTCTTACTAGCTGTGTGACCTTGTGGGAGTTACTTAACCTCTCTATAACTTCATTTCCTCATCCAAAAAGATAGGGTAATATCTACCTCATAGGATGAGCATTAAATAACTTTTTACAAACAGTATTTAGAATAATGCCTGCCACGTAGTAAATGTTTGCAATTACTATTATTCAACCATTATTCATATGATGTATGTTCACTATACTATTTGCCATCTCTGAACACATTTTTTTTTTTTTTGTCTTTCTAAAAATCTTGTGCCCAGATTGGACTCAATACTAGACAGAGTGCACTAGACTCCAGGTGAGTTATCACCAGTACAATCTTTTGTCACCTTTCCCATTTGCTACAATTTCATAAGTATTTTGTCTCCAAGATATCTGCAAGTTCCTCCAGAACTTTGGACTTTAATTTGTCCAAGTTTCAAATTTCTTTCCTTACTTTCTGCTCTCAGCACCACTATCATGAACTAACCCTCATGTGCTAAGAGCAATTGCTGTTTCTATGTATGAGCATTTGTTATCTTAGGAAACAAATTCTAAAAGACCACTTTTGTGAGATGGAGATGTAAAGTGCAACCTGTGAGAGTAGGTAAAAGAGGGACATAAGCTGGAAAGGATTTGAAGGGGAAGTGTTAAGGTACAGTAAGAAAGCATGCATGTTGCAGTAGATAATATGGAGATTGGAGCAGCGATTTGGGAACTGTGAATCCTGCCCAGTGAGTTTCAGCATTCCTTCAGAATCTTTCTTTGAAGGATAGGTGAAGCCACTTATTTATATATTCATTCATTCATTCCACAAATCTATATTTAGTATTTTATATGAGCCAGGCCCTGTTCTAGGTACTGAAAATATAGCAGTGAACACAACCAACAAAGTCCCTGCCTCCCTCACCTCAGGGAGCTTGCCTTCTAGTGTGGACACATGCAATAAGCAAATAGTTTTGATATAATGTCAGAGAGCAACAAGAACTACAGAGAAAATAAAGCACAGTAAAGATGGGGATTTTAGGAGAATGCTCTTTTAAGCAGAATGACTAATAAAGAAATAAAAAGATCTAAGGAGATGACATTTGAGTCACTTGACTTAAATGAAGTTATTGAACAAGCCACAGGATTATTTGGAGAAAGAGAACTTGAGGTGGAGAACAGCAAATGCAAAAACTCTAAGGTCAGAATATGCCTGGGATGACTGAAGAAAGCTAGGGCAGAGTAGCTAGAGGGAAATGAGTGACAGTGATATTCACAGAGGATGAAATCAGAGAGGTAGCTGGGCCAGGTTAGGTTGATGAGAAATCATTGGGTTTTAAGCAGCAGAGAATTACAATCTAATTTATGTTTTAAAGAGGGGTCTGGGCAAGAGGAGAACCAAGGAGACCATTCGGAGGCTATTGCAGTGGTCCAGGTGAGAGAAGATGATGGCTTCGATAGAATGGCAATGCTAGAAGAAATGATATGTGGACAGATTTGAGATATATTTTAAAGGGAATCAACCAAGACCTGCTGAAGGATTGGATGTGGCATACAAGAGAAAAACTCAAAAATTTTTGGGCTGAGCAACTGGATTTAATGAGATAGGGAACACTCAAGGAGACACATATTTAGGGGGAATCAAAAGTTTGGTTTGGGACATGTTAGTTTATGGTGTCTATGGACATACAAGTAGAGATATTGAGTAGACGATTAGAAATGAGTCTGAAGTTCAGGGTGAAGTAAGGGCTAGCAATATATATTTGGGAGTCATCAAGAATATAAAGATAGTGTTTAAAGTCATGGAACTGGATAAGCTGTCCTGAAAAAATGAGTAGAGAGGTCATATGGTTGGGGCCCTAATCCGGTGTCCTCATAAGAAGAGGAAGAGACAACAGAGAGCTCTCTCTCCATGTGCACGCACAGGAAAGGCCATATGTTAACACAGTAAGAAAACTGATGTCTGTAAGTCAGGAAGAGAGGACTTACCAGAAAGCAACCCTGACAGTACATTGGTCTCAGAATTCTAGTCTCTAGAACTGTGAGGGAAAAAAAACAAAAACAAAAAACATTTCACTCAATCAATCAACAAAATTGAAAGAGAAAGAGGACCATGGTCTGAGGTTTGGAGCATTCCAACCTTTAGAGGTATTAAAAGATCAGGTTAGCCCTCTTATTGAAACCTAGCTTGGGTACTCATCAGGATCAAGGTATGTCCATCATTATAGATCTCTAAATGTCTTGTGGCCTAGAGGTATCTCTGACACCAGATTTTGAAATAATAAGAT